ACCTACACTTGTATGTACACATCCCAGGGAATAGTTGTCCTTTTGTAGCAACACAGCACTGATGATTCACTGCAATCACAGATGCTTTCCTGAGGACTTGTCACAGAGTCAACTCTTGTTCTCCTAGCAAGCATGAAGATGGCTATTTTTGTTAAAAGAGCCGTTTTGAGAGGCCTTATTAAATTGGTTGTTTTTTGGTCAGGTTACTTTTGCTGGTTGAGTTTGACCTGAATTCTAGCCATGCCCTCCACCGTGCTTGAAGCTCCTTCTCATGCAGCTGTTGCATTCAGATTCCAGGTTGGCTCAACGTGGGACAGACCTGGTGCCCATGCTGGAGGACATAGGGCATGGGATTTAGGATTTGCTGTTCCTGCTTCTGAGCCATGCAGTCAGCCTCGAGACATCAGCTCAGTGCTACCGACTGCGGTTGGACTAGATGATCTTAGAGATCTCTTCCAGACTTAATGATTCTATGGCTCCAAGCCCTGCTGTACCCTTTAGACAAAGCATTGGCTGTCTTCTTCTGTCCCCATTACTGGTGGCACCTGGAGATCACGAGGGGGTGGGGTGGCATGGGCTCATCCCTGTGCTGCTGCTGCTGTTTCCTCTGTGCCAAAAGCAGTCTCTGACCTTCGAGGCTGATATACATCAGGAATTCTCAGGTTTTAAAAGACATTTTCTTTGTTCCAATATGACTGCACATTTCTTCTGCAGAAAGAAATCTGAGATAACTTGAGTATAAAGGATGATATATAAAGCCAAGTTTTATTCTATCCAGTCTCAGTAATTTTCCTCATAAATACTTCTCGGTATTATGAAATATTGCTTGCAGCAGAAATTGGGTATGTTGGGGCTGTACTATTTTATCTTGCTAAACACCGAGGCAGTCTGTGTTCAGAGCCTGCTGCATTTATCCTATTAATGTATTAGCAGGACTCCTTTGCTTTGTGTTATTTAATAGAAGGCTTTTATTTGATATGATCAAATCCATCTGTGTCTAAATGGAACTCCCTTAAAGATATACTGTGCAACAGTGCATCAGGGTGTAAAAACGCTTTTGTTTTTGAAGTTACACCAAAAGCACGCCAGTAATATCTGCAGGATTTGCATGAGCCTGCTTTGTCTGTGCCCCGCAGTTCTGATGGCGTGATACCCAAAGACATTTGCTTGAAGAAACAGCTGTGCAGCCAGCAGTATGGGGGGATCTGTTATTTGCACTGATTACCAACAACGCAGGCTCAGGCTCACCAGCAACAGCCCCTCCCCTGCCCCATTTTTTCCCAAGTTAGCAGAGTCCACTGTAAACATGTAGAGGTTGAATAACCAAAGGGACGTGTGCCTGGCCCACTGGGAGGCCCACACTGACAGCCAGAGCACATCCCCAGCACTGCAGGGCCACGCACCGTGCCCTCAGCTGTCACACGGCTGGGGTCTGCCTGCCATCCCAGCAGGACGCTGACACAGCCCTGCTTACAGCCTTGGCAGGGCACAGACATGCAATGGGAAAATAGTACTGCAGTCATGCAAAAGCTTTGACTTAACCCAAAAACCTCTTAGGAAATTTTTTTTTTTGGCTGATTTTGGGAATGCTTTTGTTCCCAAAATTTGAGGGTTATTTGTGAGCAGGGATCAGGACAATCAGAAGCCTTCTGCAGGCACTTTGCAGCCTCCCCCAGCCATGGTTCTGCATTCTGGGCCTTTAACAGCATGCAGATGCTGAGTGCTCACCTACCACTTCTGGTCCTGACAACTGCAAAGCATGTCAGGCACGCTCCATTGCATGAACACAGAGACAAAAGCCATCTGACTTACAATCTACATTGCTGTGTATATTACTGAGCTGTGTTTAGATCAGTGCATTGCTGCTGACAACATTTAGTGTGAATTACCTGCAGGTTGTGGGTAGGAGGATGGGGAATGGCTCTGCACACACTGGGGGGTGCCTGGATGGTGGAGCAGTTCTGGTGCAGGAGGCTGAGCTGAGTGCCCTGTGGCTTTACCCCTATAGACACATGTATCTGAACACAGTCTGAACCAGTATCACCTGCCAGTTCAAAATCAGATACAGAGCATGGCACAAATGGGGTCTTTATGGCTGAGCAAGGAATAATTTGTTTCTATTTTCAGTGCATAAACTAAGATACGTGCAAACACACACAGGGCAGTGTTCCTCTTCAGCGTCGCTGATGGCATATTTATCTCTAGTATTCACCATGCTAAGCTTTAATATTTTAATGCAACAAATAATTGCTTTCTACTTCCACAGAGCAATTATCTTAGATCCTCTGTATTCCTATTTACAACCTCGAAAGATTCAGATTTATCAATTTAACTGAACGAGTGAATTTTGCACCGTGGTTGGTCTCCTGCCTTGACAGTGACTGCAGAGGGCCGTGCAGTGGGTGTCCTGCTGGGTCTGTGGCTGCATGTGGGCCAGGGCCAGGCTGTCCCGTCCCAGGGCTGGGCTCCTCATGGCCACAGGGTCTCCCCACCCTCAATCCATTGCGTTCTCATGCAACCTTTGTAGCTGGTTTCTCCACAGCCATCCATCCTCTGCTGCCTTCAGGTATCAGTGTGCTTTGAGATGCTATCGTGGGACTCTGGTGAGCCCTCAAGGGCTGTTCTCTCTCCAGCTTCTCCTGTAACAGACAGTTCTGACAGCCAAGTCTTCATCTTCTTACTGCTTTGACCTTGAGTTAGTTTATCCCTTCCTTCTCTGCGTGTTCTAAATCTTGCATACAAACTATTAAGGCTTTCCTACAATAAATCATTAACCTGAATATAGTTAACTGAAATGCTTATTAACGTCTCTCTGCATAATCCATTTAACAGAATTACTCTTGCTTATTCAGGCAACCTAAAGAGGTCCGTGCTTTTGTCTACCAGCTTCAGCATTAGAGCTTGTAATTATTTCTGGTTAATGCAGCCCTGGGTGTTAGCAAATGTTGGTTTATGCATTTCAGCATAGTACTTTTCCTAATCTCTTGTATTAATTAGAGATAGCGATATAGCATTACTTTGCTCCTTTATATTCACTACCAGGAGAGATGTCTGAATATAATCCCATCTGCGTCGAGAGCGCGCTCACTTTCACAACTGCTAAGTGTGACAAACCTTAGGATTACGAGGAAGTAATCGCTGCGTTAAGGAAAGTGGTGCACGTGGGCAGAGGTGGTGTGGGGCTGGGGAGGTGGCACAGGGCTCCCTGGGGCACCATCAGTGGGTTGGAGTCCTTCCCTATTCTCACATCTGGGCCTCCCCCTCCTTCAGGATTCTTTCACATCATGCCCCATCCCTGCAGACTCCCGAGCTCAGGGATGGGGCTCTGGGCACGCGGTGGAGCTGTGGGTGTCCCTGTTCATTGCTGCAAGTGGGACCATGTGGCCTTCAGTGGTCCCCTCCAGCTCAAACGATTCTGTGCTCCTATGACTGGTCAGCCAGCTTTGGGAGCCACAGCTCTTCCTGTTGCTGACACAGTAGATGTATCTTTCCCCATTAATTCACCTAGCACCTTCATGCTGAAACAATGCAGCTATGATTTAATAAGCTTTACAAACACAGTGATGGTTCGTAGCAGCAAATCAGATTTACATAATTTTCCACTGGCTTTTAAAGCCACTGAAATTCAAATTATCTTTACTTGGGGAAACTCTTTTAATATGCTAAAACGAAATACCACCTACATTATGCTTGGGTTTGCTAGCTTGCCTTTTCCAACGCATTAAATGTTGATTTGTCATGGCGGTTTATCACAGAAAGTTCCCTTTTAATGAGAAGGGAGGGGAGTGCCCTGTAGTTAGTCATGGCTGGAAGCCGTTGAAGGAACAAAAGGGGAAGCTTTAACATCTAGAATGAATTTGGTCATATTGTGTTGTTGCTTTGCGTACTGCTGGGATGGGCACCACCTTGGCTCTCTCTTGCTGCAGCTCAGCACCCACAGGCAATTCCCCATCCTTGTCCCAGGCAGGCTGTGGGTCATTTTTAACTCCATGCAATAAATAAGGCCCAGAATCCTTCCGTGGTGTTCTCAGCTCCTCCACCTCGGGATATTTCATGCTTTTGTGATTCTGAGAAGGAGGTGCAGAGCTGATGAATCAACAGATTTTGCAGCTCGGATCTGAGTTTCACCTATACAGCCAACATCTGCTTGTGCAGGTGGCACTGGGTGTAAGGCTCACACAGCTTTTGTGTTTTGGAATAGGCAGAAGCAGTGCAGTATCAAAAGCAAACACTCTTACCAGCATTCAGCGCTGTGGCGGCAGTGGATGCTGGGGCCTCATGGACCCCATTTCTCCCCTCACCTCCACTGCATACCTCCAGTGCTCACCTTGTGTCCAACCCCACCTCACTGATGTCGGTACTCCCAGCTGGGTGTTGGGTTCCCCATCATTCCCCTGGGATTTTACAGGAGCAAAAGCAATGGTTCCTGCTTAAGCCTCCTCCTGTGGGCCAGCAGCCGGCTGCTCACCGTCATCTCACAGCTCAACACATTTCTTGACTCTGTGTGCATGCATTCGCTGCAATATTTAATTAGGGATTTGAGAGAGCCTTCCTATTAAAGCAAGTAAATACAATCTCTTCAAACGGATTGACAATAAATACGCATCTCTATGGCTCAGCACAGCGTTCAAGCTTTGGCTCCGAAAGTTAAGCAGAAAACATGTTGTTGTCCAACAGAGCTAAATATATTCCCCTCCCGTTGGTATTAGTGGAGATTTTGATGCTCAGTAACTTAAAAACAGATGCATCATTCAGATGTTTAAACACAAAGCACCCATCTGATGTTGTGCTGGCCTTTTGGAGTGCTGGATCATGGGCTGCGCTCTGTGTCACGGCCAGCAGCAGCACTGCTGCCGGAGGGCTTGGCGACCTCCGCCTCGTCTCTCCTGTTTTCAGATTAACACTTTTGCTGCTCTGATGTTATCGTAGAAGAATGAACTGTAAGCGTTTGGGACGTGAGGGTAGGAGGGGCCCCTAACCCTTTTCTCTTCTCTCCGCAGCTCCCAGTACGGCCCAGTATGGGATCACCGGGGACGCCGAGGTCCTGTTCTCCTGCTGGTACCTTGTGTTGACACTGTCCTCCCTCACCAGCATATTCTACCTGAAGAACATCATTCTGCACTGAGTGTAAAGAACCCTAAAAGGCTTTTAAGGATTCTCTGAAAGTGCTGATGACTGGATCTGATCTGGTAGAGTTTGTTAAAAGCAGCGTGGGATATAATCAGCAGTGCTTGCGTGGGGATGATCGCCTTCTGTAGAATTGCTCATTATGTAAATACCTTAATTCTACTCCTTTTTTGATTAGCTGCATTACCTTGTGAAGCAGTACACATTGTCCTTTTTTAAGACGTGAAAGCTCTGAAGTTACTTTTAGAGGGTATTAATTGTGATTTCATGTTTGTAATCTACAAGTTTTCAAAAGCATTCAGTCATGGTCTGCTGAACTGCAGACCGTAGTTTACAAAAAGAAAAAAAGGAGAATATTGCAGTAAAATGGGCTTCTTTAAGGCTGCAATACAACATTCAGTTCCCTTCTTAAATAACATTCTCTCCACATGTACACAGGAACTTTTTTTTTTTTAATTAAAAAAAAAATCAAATAATCTTGCCTTCAAAATATTTCTTCGGAATACTACACATATCTAGATTTTCTTCCAGCATGATATTCAGGTTTCAAAAATGAGCCTTGTATTATAACTGCATTGTGCAGTACTGCTTTTTGATTTCTTCCTTTTTCCTGCAAATTCAGCATGGGTGTGCCTTCATAAAACACTATTTTCCTCTTCCTTTCCAACAAATCCGGAATGTGCTTTGGGAAATGCTACAGCATCCTTTTGAGCATAACCGATCTCTGAGGACGAAGGTGCTATTGATAGGCAGAAGGCCTCCTCTCCCATCTCCAGTGGGTAATGGGACTGCTTCAGTACATTTTTAGGCAATCAGACAAGGACAGCACCGGTCCCTTTTCATTTCCCCCCTACTAAGCGGTGGACGATGTGCATTAAGAACGAGTTTCCCCACTACAAAAGAGAATGCAAATTATTTTGAGACATCTTTTGAATGTAAGAAGGTTTCCCGTAGTCATTCTAAATCAGAATTCCTAAGTGGCTGTAAATGTGAGGAGCTGAATCATCCCTTTTGTATTACTGGCAAAAATATGATGTGAATTGGTATTTTTCTTGCACTTGATTTTGTACTGGTTTGGCTAATTTAGCAATGATAAAGGATGCTTTTAAGTATTAGATATCTGAAAATACATAAAGTATCAAGCAGAATTTTATATATATACATATATATATATAAAATACAGATATATATTAAAATGAGGTTGCTCCAATAACCGTACTGAAGTGCATGCTGCCGTCAGTGACGCATCTACAGACAGGACTTCATTCCTGATGTACACACACTGTGCAGATAGCTTAACACAGCAGTTTAGTCATCATACACCATCTCCTAGGACTGCAGTCTATCAAGATAAGACTCATTAAACTCAATGAAGGATCAAGTTTCAAAAGAGCATCTAGAATCACTATTTTTTTCTAAGCAGCCCCATACTACATCAGTGCAAAACATTGCTGCAGTTTACAGCTGAGTTTAGAAATGCCATCCTTGTAAGTTGCTGGGATGTGACTGTGTCCAATAGCCTTAGAACACAACGTCTCCTATTGACCCAGTAGATGCTGATGTGCTTAAAGAAACAACAGCTGACGACACGAATAACAAAGCCATTATATAAGTACTGCATTCCCCCTCCTAACGATAAGGTTTGTGGTTAGCAATACCAGATGAGTGCTGTGCATACGCAGCAGTTCCAAATCCCCCCGTGTCTGAAAAGGCAAATTGTGAGTTGGGTTGGACTCACTGTGCACTGTCCCATGCTGAAGCACAGGCACAGTGTGCGGTGAAGCTGTTGCAGTTACTGATGAGCCCAGATGCACGGAGTGAAATGCATCGAGTCCAAAATACGGCAATAAAGCGTCCTAGGTCTGCCTGTGCTCAGTGACAGGCTGTGCCATTTCTGTCACGTCGTTTGCAGCTGCGTGCTGAGCAGTGGCCATCTTCAGAAGCGTGGCATTTCTGTAAAACCTTGAATAACATGACCAAACTCGTTGTTGAAGGAAACGGTTTAAAGCCAACTCAAATACACAGTAGCCCTTATATTCTTCTCTCCCTTGTATTGCAGCTTTAAAGTGCCATATTTTAGAATCTGTTCATTGGAAAGAGTGGTGCTGCAGAAAACATCACGTCAGGGCAGACTTGTGAAGAAAGTACAGGGGTGTGTGTAACCCAGCCCACCTGCTGCTCCTCGTGTGAATGTGAGACGGGCTGTGCTGGGGCTGGGTCCAATTGGGCATTTCCATTATGATTTTATTTTGGTGATTCCTGACATCTGAAACAACCCCAGCAACAGAATGGAATGAACGGCAGCTTAATTAAACTTGAAGAAAAGGAAGGATTGGCTGATGGCAGATGTGGAACCACTGGGTTATGTGGACAAAGCTTTCAGCCCCATTAATTCTCCGTTAAATTTGTGGGTACATTGTTGTTGTCACTTCCAAAAAGGAAAAGAGCCCACGAATGTTTCTGGGTGCCAGTAGCAGTTTGTCAGACAGAGGAGGTGTCTGAGCACTGAGCAGAGCCGTGTGCTTGGGGTGCATGGGCTCACAACCCCGTGTGCCCCAGTGCCAGCAGAGCTGCCCCTCGCTGTGCAGCCAACACAGGGCACGGGTGCTTGGCTTTGTGCTCCTGCCTTGAAAGATATGATATGTGGAGTTAAACAAGCTCAGGTTCTGGCAGGATCAGAGCCCTAGGAGGCATTGATCCCATAAAGAACCTCAGCTCTGTGGTTAATCTGTTCTGCATGGTAAAGGTAGTCGTGCAGTTTGGGATTTGCTGGGACGTCCTTCCAGCACGGGCTGTGCAGGCTGCTGCAAGCTGAAGGCTGCAGCACTGGGCAGAGCCCATTCTCTCTTTAGTTTGTGGGGTGTGTTTGCTTTAGGCAGCCATCGGACGGAACGTTCTGTGCTTCTTGGAATGGTTGACCCGTACTGTTCATCTCTGTTGATCAAATCGCATTCTATTTATTCCCACCTTTAAAAAGTAAAAAATAAACAGCTCAGCTCCAAGCAGTATAACTGAATACGTATATGAAGATCACTGTCTGCATGGGAAACCCCAAGGTCTGTAATGCTGTAAGTTCCCACTCGTGCGATAACTCAGGGCTGCTAATCACCGTTGCATCGGTGACGTGAGCAGCAGCAGCAATGCTCAAAGAGAGGCATTGCTGATCAGGATATTATTCTATTACGGAATTAAACTCGTAACTTCTTGAACGGATGCCATTTCTCAAGGTTTATAACGTGGCAGGAAGTGTATCCATCACTGCTAGACAGCTTTTTTTAAACTTTTCAATATATATATTTTTGTTAGAAACTGTGCTGTTTTTTAAGATACAGGGGTGTTAAACACCGTCGCCAGGAAAAGCTGCTTCTTTGCACATTTTCAAAGTTAGCATTCTAGACCAACTATGGTAAATGTTACACTTACCAAAATCTCTTCTTATTCCACATAAGTGTGTTGTAAAGAATGTGTATACCAAAATACGTATTTACATGGATGAACAATATGCCTTAAAGACTCAGTGTGCGTTTACTTCTGAGACTGGACAAGATTTGTGCCCAGTCTGGAGGTAAATAATCCATACTTCATAGCCTGCCATGGGAGATTTCATTTCTTCAAAAAATAATAATAATAAAAGAAAAAGAAAAAGGAAAATTTGGTTTCTTTTCAAAGAATCTTAATGAATTTTGAAATTCTGGCATGATCTGGCATATGTGAGGAAGTGTAGGAAAGGGGTGAAGCTTTATCTCTGGCTCCAGTAGTGAGCAGCCTGTTTGCAGTGTTGTGCCAGCATCAGGCACTGCCATAGAGACCTCGTTCCTGTGCCAAGGCCACAGGCAGCCTGTCCCTGTTCTCATCCCTGATCCTGTCCCTGTTCTCATCCCTGGTTCTGTCCCCAGCCCAGTCATGGCCAAGCCATCACGTCAGCACTGCCTGTCCTCCTTCTTGCCCCTACTGGGGACCAGCAACCCATAGCCTCCACGTGTGCCACAGCACACAGAATTCTTTGACACCATAAACTGTTTTAAAAATAAAGAAATAAAATAATCATAAGTGAGAAACATAAATTCTTCATTCAGCCTTAACAGGGAGTAGATCGATAGTTGGAAGGAGGAATTTGCTCTGCCTGTGTTGATGCACTGGACACACTTAGGCAGGGTTGGCTCCAATTTTTGGCTGTGCCTGGTGTTTCCTCACTGAGCACAGAGCGAAGGCAGGGCGCTCACTGCGGTCAAGGACACCCGTAGCACATCTGGACGCAGCCCAGACTGCTGCAGGAGGGGCTCAGGACAGCAGGAGTGGATTCTCAGGGACTGCTGCTCTGAAATAGTCCCTCAGCAAAGGCAGGCAGACCTCACCTTCAGCACTGAGCCAACACACATTTGCTCCTACAGCTTTCCGCCTAATTCCTGGAGAGCTCAGAGGTTCCTTTATATTAGAAAATCCTTATGTTAAGAACTGTACACATGGCCATGTTTTCACATCCCATAGCCTTAGTTTCCAGCCCTCTGTCTTTTAAAGAACACGGAGCTTTCCCGTCAGCATGTGGGGTTGAGTCTGGACAAGCTGCAGGGCTGATCTGTCAAGCTCTGTGTGCTGTCCTGCCTCCTGCTGAGGTTACGGGGTCATCGGGCTGCCATGCCATCAAGTCATCAGGCTATGGAGCCTTTGGGTAATCAGGCCTTGTGGCAACAGACCTCCATCCCTCAGGCCTCCAGCCATCGGGACATTGAAGGCCATTGGGTGACGAGCCATCGTGGCGCTGGGACAGCAGCTCACCATCAGGCTGTAAGGCCAGCAGATGAGCAGAGCAGCAGCCAAGGGACGTGCCAACTGCTGGCCCTGCACTGCGGTCCTGGTGGCCGCTTAGTGGTCCTGCAGGGCTCCCTCTAAGCATGCCAGCCCCTGTCCCTGGGACAGGAGAGGTGCAGCAAGGACCTTCCCTGAGGGCACTCAGCAATCCAGTGCGAGCACCTCTAAACCAAACTGCAAGCAGTAATGCAAAGTAACACAGCTGAAAGTCATTTTACTTGTGGTCACTTTGATCACCTGGGAGCTCCTCATGTAGCCTCCGTGGCTGCTGTGCCATCAGGTAAACCTGAGCCCCATTAGAAGAGTAAATTACATGGGTGCAGCAAGCCAGAGCCAAGTGAGGAGGGGAGGTGAGCAGGAGCCAGTGTTGTGCTGCAGACACAGGAATTTCCCCTCCTATCCTCCAAATATAAAAGTATTCATTATTCCTCCAAACCTTTTTTTTTTTAATGCTGCCAGATACAAAATGCCTGTAATGATGATATATATCATATTTGGTATCTAGAGGGTGAAATTTCTCCTCTCCGAGCACACATCCATCCTTCTCTTTATTATTTTTCAGCCAAAACCAAAACACAATTCGCACATTACATGATGCAATTTATGTGCAATAACACCAGCTTTTCCACTTATCAAAACCATTATAGTCATAAGCACATAACTCCCATTAACCTCAGTGACAGCGACTTAAATGTGAACCACAAGTGAGAATAAACCTTAAAGATGTCATTTAACAGCAGCAGCCTTGTTTTCTGGTATGTGTCTACTGGTGAGATGGAGGCTCATTTCTTCCCCCTGAACCTTTCTGGTATTTCCTCCTGCTGCAAAGTGCCCTTTCCCTACCTGCAGTGCGGTCAGGTCAGAGGTGTGGTGGTGGGATGTGCTTTGTGCTCATGGAGCATCACCTCGGGCAGCAGCACCCAGCAGTGCCCAGGGAGCCCACGCCGTGCTAACGAGGCAGCTCTGCGCTGCAATTCCAGCTCTGTAGCAGCTCTGGGAGATAGCACAGTTCATTAGGCTACAACAGCTTAAAGATGTTAAAAAGGCTGGTTTTCCTCTCTCGTTTAAGTGCGTTGGGTTGCTCTTCCGTGGAACTTTGAATTCACTGTTTTCTTCATTAACTTTGACCTTTTTACATCTATTACAATAAGAAAAAGATAGAGTTAACTTTAGAGCAAGCTACTGCAAATTCACTTTGCCTGGGCTTCTACAAAGCCTGGTGCAAGAAAGCCACTTTCCTACACTAAAAGGATTTAAGGTTAGGGATACTAAGCTGCTCTGAGTCGTTCCTCACCCACTCTCAGCTGGGCACAGGCCCCTTTCACCCAGTGCCTGTGGGCAGCAGAGCACAGCAGGGCACACATCAGGCTGCCAGGGCAGCTGCCATTTGTGGTGGGATATTTGTGTAAATCTGAAACAGTTGAGGACACAGCCATAGGCTTTGGCCATAGGTATACAACAAGCCCAGCTAAAGAGAGCGCTGGTCCCAGTCCTGCCTCCTCTAGATATTCCCAGGCAGTCTTTAGCAACCAAGCATGGCTTAGTTCTATGGGCTGTGACAATAACTGGGAGTTTTGCTTTCCAGCCCAGTCCAGCCCCACTGTGCTGCTGGGACGCTCAGCTCTTCCCAAGTGTTGTCTTTCTCTCTTTTTTGGCGCAAACAAGCAATGTGCTGCTCTGCTGCCCGTGCATCCCATTTCATAGGGGTTTGTTTCCCTTGTTACCTGAGCAGGGCCATTGCTAGGGGGTGCAGCTTCACCTCCCCGGCTGCGAAATACCTGGTGGAAGCGCACCTGAGCTTCAGCACTAAGTCCCTTTTGCAGTGGGAGCCCGGATTGGTGTCTCAGGCTTTGTGTCAGTGCCTTACACAGCTCCTGCAGGGCAGTGCGGGTGCTGCGTCCCACTGCTCCCGGGGAGATGCAGGGAGAGCGCCGCGTTCATCCTTGGCCGTTTCAGTGTGTTCATTTTGCTGACTGACTGTGATCTTGAGATCATTGTTCCTCGCTTCTTCATCACGCGGAAGGTTGTGAGCAGTAATTATTTTAGCATATGGCGAGATGTGCAATTATTACCGCTAGGCTCTTCATCGTAGACAATCTGCTTTAGCACGGCTCTCCCGTGAGCGCCAGCAGCACGGGGCTCGGCCAATTCCAGCACAGAAAGCAGCAGCCACCCCCAGACAAGTTCCTAATTTCCAATTCCTCCCAGAAGCCGTGACACTGCTGTTAATGGCAAGTAATAACGGCCACGGGATGGAGCCTTAAAATGAATCACAATAGTTGGATGTCATGGGCTATTAATTGAATAATTGCTTTAAGTCACTGTATTCATGATTTTGGTTATGAAGGCATTTTATCTGTAGTTAATGCTCACGCTCTTAGCAAACCTGTGACTTGTGGAAAGCACCTTAACGTCCCAGTAAATCATGGTTTCCATGGCAGGATCTCCTGGCGCCTTGCAGGCAGCAAAGTGGGTCCCTGCAGCATGGCAGGGAGGGCAAGAGGCACAAATCGGGCAGTAGGGAGCAGCCACCACGGGCTGTGTTTGCATCAAGGCAGGCAGACAACATGCTCAAAGAAAATCCAGGCTGTGTGCAGCTCCCAGAGCAGCCCTGCCCTTTCTGCTGCCCAGCAGCAGCCCCATGTGCCAACCTGAGCTCACAGGAGGCATCCGCACCCCTGCCCACCTCCACGGTGGATGTGTGTGCCCTGGGGAGGGCTGGTGCTCCCCACGCACAGCTCGTGGCTTTAAGGCAGCAGCAGATATGCAAATGCACTCAGCAGAGCACTCCTGCAGATGTTCTTATTTAAAACAACCTGAACCCACCTAAAGTAATAACCTCAAAACCGCCTCACTGCTCCCATACGTTCTGAGTCACTGCTGCAGAATACCACAGGAATATTATTTTTATAAGAGAGAACCATTTACTAAGTAAGCCACCTGTTAAATAAACACACCCTCTCTCCAAATATTGCTGTTTTGTTTTCCAGACTATGCACAATCTGGATTTATTTTAGATGAGAAAAGATAATCACTAAAGAAAAAAACCTGTATTTTGACTATTTGAAACCATCCATCTTGAGCACACATCTGCTCCTCCACAAGCTGGCAGAGCGTTTACATTAACGAGAATCATCGTTCCTTATTCAGCCGGGAGCTAATGAACTTCTATCATCAGACCATGGCAGTCGTCATTTATTTTAACTTCTCCAAGCTTTCCATTGTTTCCTTCCAGCGTGGCTTGCCAAGAGAGGCGTCCTCTCATGGGGACAGAGGGCAGCTCCGGTCTCACTGTGCCATCACCTTTTCCATGCTTCTAAAGCCACACTGAGCATCACCCCATCTTTGGCAGCGTGGCTGTTGCTGCAGAGTTCCCCTCCCCATGGCCACCTGCACTCAGCACCAGCTGCAGGGAATTCATGTGGGAGAGATTCAGTGTTTTCTGGGTTTGGGGTCCGTCAGCTCCCAGGGCACTGTGATGTTCTTCCCATCCCAGAGGTGGGAGAGCAATGCTTGCAGACTGGCTGCAAGGAGCTCCTTGCATCCCACGTGCATGCAGACATTAGTGGGGATTTCGACGGCTTTGGCAGATCGTGCATGCTCGGGTCTGCAACTGATAGCTTGTTGCAAGTAATTATACAGCACAGACAGAGGCTTGCAGGTGGGCTGTGAGCCCTCACCCATGGTGAGCAGTGCCAGAACAACGTCCTGCTGCTGAGAGCACTGCTGCACGCTGCTCTCCAGCAAACTGGTGGGCACGGCCTCACTGCTGCTGGCAGCACAAGCAGGTAGGGATCACCTGGGGGCATAAGTATAGCCAGAAGGATGCACTGCCAGTGTGAGCTCATACCCAACTGCAGGCACAGAGTGGGACAAAACTGTTTCTAAATCAGCCCCTGTTCTCTTCCCTTTGTGATAATGAAGCCTCTGCCATTTTGCATGGCCACGTGTGTTTCCCTGCTCTTTGGCACTCAGCACCTTGGCACAGGCACCTTTAGCTGGTGCTTTTCCCACACATCTGAATAACACAGCAGCAAAACCCTCATTGCACAGCCCGCACCTTCCAGCCAGCAGCCTTCTCCTCGGGGCTGAGCTCAGCAGCCGTGGGCTCACAGATGTCTGTCCAACACAGCATCACCGAGTCACTCTGTGACTTTCTCCCAAGCACTTTCACGCATCTTTACTCTAATGCAAAACCTTAGGAGATTTCATAAAGCCTATTCTACTCTTTTCCCTTTAAGTGCAGCCCACAAATTAATGGCGCCTGTTAATTAGGCAGCTAAACCCGAAGGAAAAAAAAACCCTAAGGAGAAAAAAAAGTAATGCTTCTCATTTGAAGGTACTGCGCTGCAAAACACATTAAAGACTTGAGCCAGCTTTTAATAACTGAGAGACGCTTTAATTAGAGTTGACATATGAACCAAGCATGTGTGCCATGCCCAGGGTGGGCTCACATACATGTGTGCCCTACATAGGGGTGTGTGTAGGTTACACACACACGGGTGAGCCAAGCAGAGGACCCCAAAGAGGCTGCTGGCTTTTGAACCTCTGTGCTCTTTGATGATTAACAGAGGGAAGAAAAAATATTTTGCATACCTGAGTCTCCATTACACTAGTGCAAAAACAAGTTAATTTGGAACTATTGCAGCCACCGTTAGGAAAAAGTTGTATCCATGTAGGACAGACCCTTCCCTTCCCTCATCTCATCTCATCCTGGTCCACATAGAAATCCAGGACTTGTTGCTCTCAAAGAACAGACTTCAAATTTCTATACTCACGTCAGGGCAGCATTAAATATTGAAGTGAGATATTAAAATTTCAGAGAGCCTAAATTAAACCTGAGGTATTCAAAAATAAGTGTTCCTGCATATTTAATACCAGAGATCTCGTAATTAACATTAGAAATCTCTCATATTAAGAAAATGAGGAGCTGCCTAAAAACCAATGACCACAGCTGTGACCTTCCGGGCACACATTGGGTCTGCTATGGAGGAGGCATAGATTTGTTAGCAGGCTGGAAGCAAAGTAAGCCAGGGAGGATGGGGTTTGTATGTCCCTGGAAGGTCTTCACTGCCCACAGAGTGACCAGCAGGGTAAGCCCAGTGCTTGGCAGGCTGCTTGCCCAGCTGAGCGGGTGCCCCTGCACAGGGCACTGGGGTGTTTTTGCTTCTTCACCTGAGTTCCCAGGGCTGTAGAATAGCTCTGGTTATCACACGGCTCCTCGAGATTTAAAGCCTTTATTTAAGCACCTGAATTTATTATTCTAAGTGTTTTTGTCCCTCATGCACTGCTATAAGTGGGAAGTTAAATCAATAGTATGCCACATTTTTAGGTCTGTCTGAGGATTTGAGAATAGCAAACAAGGCCACAAGTCCTGCAGGTACCAGCAGCAGCCAGCTCCTACACCGTGCTGAGCCGAGTGGTTGTGCTTAGAACTGCACAACTAATAGAACTCAGCCAGCAGAGACTGTGCCCCAGCTTATGAACACTGGGCTCTGCTCATCCTGCTTCCACAGATACAGATGATCTTATCATCACAGCCTTTTGTGTCTGTGGAAATCAAGTGGAGATCACCAAATGCCCTCCCACAGAAGAACATAGCTCTGTGACAACGGGCAGGATCAAGGTTACGGACACTGGTTTAACATTGACAATTTGTCCAGTCAAAGTAAATATGCTTTTCATGTGTCTTACAAAAGCTGCTCCACTACTATGGCAAAAGGAGTCATCAGCTTTGTCAATGGCAACACCAAATGGCTGCCCCATGTCCCACAGCACTGGCACACAGCTGTGCAGGCAGGGTGGGCAGTGAGGCAGCACCCCAACAGCGTGCCCTGGTGCAGGGCTCCCAGCAGCACCCTGAGGACCCAGGCAGAGCCCGCAGTGCAGCACAGCTGTGGGCTGTGATTTGTTAGGATGGCTGCTAACTTGCAGTGCTCGATTTCAGAGGGTCACTCGGTACAATGGCAAACCACTCATTCCCAGCAAAATGTCAGATTATGGATGGAGGGCAAGAGAAGGGGCACAGAGAGATAAAACCATATACTGACAAAACAATAAAGGAAAAATCAATCTTTATGACAGATGAGAAAGGAGATTTACAGTGTAATCAGAAAGCACAAAGAGATTCATGGCTTGCCAGAGTGGTATCCAGGCAGCATTATTCTATAGATGGCAACACAATCACACCGCCAGATCTGTTTGTGTTCCCGAGCAAATCTTCTGTGCGTCCTGTTGGAGTGGGCACTACAAGCACAGATCTCAGCACTCCATCTGCACGCTGTGCCTCTCCATGCACGGCTCTGCAATCCTTGGGCTGTTCTGATGCAATCAGCTGCACGGAGCGTGCATTGCAGCAATGGCAGGAGATAAGAGCTGCCTGGAGGGGGAGAGGCAGTGCCACGTGGCTCCTCCTCACACAGCCAGAGCAGCAATTAGCGTGGAAAGCAAGGCAGCCCTCCTCTGCTAATGAGCTTCTGGCTATCAAGCCATTGTCTTAATTTCTAGGCGTTCGGATAAGATATCTTTTAGATAGGATCAAAATGGCCGCTCAGCTTGAATGCAAAGAAATCCTGATCTATGAGTTTAATACCATGTAAAGCTTAACGTATACCTCAGCCTGAACCGGTTCGGATTGCCTGGCATTTCTTATCTAAAAAGCAAGAATCACACAGTGAGTCCCCGAGGTGATTTAATCATCAGTTGCAGCAATGGAAAAACAAACCCTTTTTTTTTTTCTCTCTCTGCAAAACCTCTCCTGCCCTGTGACGACCACCCAGGCCCCCAGACTCCGTCTCCTCCTCTCTGGCAAAGCAGGGGTTCTGGACTATGGGCTGTGCCCCCCAGGATGGACCTGTCGTGCCAGCCCCCACCCGAGGCCAGCAGCAGAAGCAGCCACTCAGGCTGGGAGCTGTCAGCAATGCAGCAGAGCCTGCAGCCTGCCAGGCCATGGTCTGTTTGGTGCAGCTCGCTCCCCTGCTTGGTGTGGCATTCAAGCTCCATTGGGCCACCTGCAGCCACTGCACTGTTCCTTACATCTCAGTGCTGATTGATAAGCTCACAGTCAGCTCAGGGCTCGTGGTAGCAACATCGAGAACAAAATCAGCAGTGAGATAGGCAGCCAAACTCAGACCCAGCCAGGAAAACCATGATGCTGAGTCTTTTCTTCCCAGCATCTCTCGAAACATCTCAGAGGAAGGTGCCAAGTGCAGACCCACAGGGAATCTGCAAACCCTGGCAATGTGCAATTGCAAAACAAGGCATGCACAGGGGTTAAACACACAGACCAGTCTGTGGCACGGATGTAGGTTTGTAGACACTCTCACCCTGTCAATTATTTAAAGAACAGACCACAGCAGAACAAGTTGGAGCAGAGACCCGGCAGTCTGGTGATGAGTCTTCCCAACCATTCCCACCAATAGCATCACCAGAGAGCCCCGTTTCATACAGTACTCTGCATGGCACACAGGACAGAAACAACTACGATACCAGTTATGCTGTTTTCATGTGGTGAGGAATTAATTCATCCTCCATGAAGCTCTGCATCACAGTAGCAATAAATCAGTTGACTGATAAGGGCAGCAGCACTGAAAATTATGTGATCTGTTGGCCTATTGCCTCAGCCAGGAAAATCACAGAGATTGGAAACCACATCACACTCCTCCTTGGTCACTTTCCCCTTTGCCCCGTTGAAGCCTTGGTTTGCTCCTGCTGTCTGTTATGTTTAGAAAGTCAGGAGCAGAAAAATAAGCAGGAGAAAACCCTGAAGGCATCAGGTTGATGCCACGCTGCTGCGAGTTACAGTCGAATTACTGTAATCCTTAATTTTCCCAAGATAGTTTCAAAACAATGAACTTATCATTTTCAAGCCAAGCCATTTATGTATGTCCTTTTCTCCTTCGTTCTCAGACAGTGGGCAACCAGAATTTTATTTTGCATGAAGTTCTTTGGCAGCATTCATCCATAATCATCAACAAAATAAGTTAATATATGTAGGCGACTATAATGACAGTAAATGCAGTGTAGGAGGGATAATATGTGCTTCATTGTCAATGCTCACATGCTGAATTAAATACTCTATTCTGGTCAAATGCTAATACACTCCATGAGCACTTTTCCATAAACACGTTTTTTAAATGTAAGATACAGAAGTGATATGAATAATATATTGGAATGATCTGATATAAGTGAGCTTAAGAAGGGGTGTTTTTCTGCAGCACGTCGCCTGGTCCCAGCACTGGCATTAGCTGCATGAAGAAAGTCTTCATGATGGTATCAATTCAGCCATGAGGACCTCATCTGTAAAGGACGCGCTCTTTTCGCACTGGTTTTGGCCACAGCTGGCCAAATGATGGGGACCACCTCAGTTTTGAGCGCCAGTAACTATCAATGATTCCTCCTTTCTGATATATTTAAGATTTTCTCTCTTGTGGTTTGCATTGCAGCCATGGATGGGGAGGGAAGCCAAGGGCTGTGATGCTGTATTGATGCCTTGAGCATAACGGCCGCAGGCCCTGCGCATCTGGCTGATGCTTTGATTAGTCTGCTAACACAGGGAGGACTTTAAAGAGCAGTAAACAGCAGCACCCTGAATTAACGCCCTGCTTCTCTGCTGCCTGTTCTTCACAAAGATATTTTCCTTAGTGATCCAGAGCAAAAGGCTTAGTATGGTATCATAAGGCAACTCAAAAGAATAAATAAATTGAGCAGCACAAAGCTCAATATTAAACAGACAATGTGGGAACAGTATCTAAATGGTACCACCTATTTTGGAGCTAAAAATAGGCTCAGAAAATCAAATTCAACATTGACATTGGAATAAAGAAAAGACATTAGTTGCTCCCCAGCCCCACAATATCCCCAGCACCAACTGCAGGCCCCCTGTTGGGGCAGCAGCCCCAGCCTGGGGGTCCCAGCAATGAGGAACAGAGGTGGGGATATCACTGGGGGGTGAAATGATTGATCAGAGCCCTCTGAAACGTGACGTGGGTGATATTTTCAGCACTGGGGGAACAGACTTCTTTTTTCATCCATCTTTTCGCATAGTTCTCTGCCTTCTAGGCAGACCCGTTGGTGATCGGCAGCTGTCAATGAGATGCTCCATGCTGCATAAAGACTGGGACAAAGTATAATATATTTCAAAAAAATCATCACTCATCGAATCACAGCATGGCCTGGGTTGCAAAGGAGCACAGCGCTCATCAGTTCCAACCCCCTGCTGTGTGCAGGTCACCAACCAGCAGCCCAGGCTGCCCAGAGCCACATCCAGCCTGGCCTTGAATGCCTGCAGGGATGGGGCATCCACAGCCTCCTTGGGCAGCCTGTGAACAGTGCCTCACCACCTTTGGCTGAAAAACTTCCTCCTCATATCCAACCCAAACCTCCCCTTTCTCAGTTTAAAACCATTCCCCCTTGTCCTATCAGTGGCCCAAAATCACACAATGTCCAATCAAAATCACACGACCAGTTCCAACCTGCTGGTGGATTTCCATGGACTAATGACCAATTAATTCTGACTGTTTCAAGGGTGCTTACTCTTAATTATAAACTCCTGCTTATACTTACAAACTATGTCACCTGTAATTGCATATCTTTCCAATATCTCTTGGTTCAAAAAACAGAATAAGCATTAATGTTTAAGACCTAAAGCTGACAGCTAGATGCTTCTCTAGCAGAGTTTGGGAATACAAAGCAATGGCAGCTCAGATGTGTGGAATGGTTTGGAATGCAGGGATGGGGAGCTGAGGTGCAGTGCTGCCCACAGCCCCGGGTGCCATGGGAGCCAGCAAGCACTGCCAGCCACAGACAGCCCTGCATTGTCTCATTTGTTTCAGAATTAGCTGTCTTTTCAATCTAATGTCAGTACTTATTGTTTGAACTCCGATGGGCTGGTTTTGCCAATTATCATCAGTGTCTTTTGTGAAGCAGCTTGCCCAGGCTTTTAAAGCACAATTACCAGCCTGGTGCAGCAGATAGGATGCCTGTGACATTTTCACATGCTGAAAATAAATACGTAAAATATAACAAAACAAGACTTTTATTAGTAACATACTTCTAGGAAGGAATATAAAGTAGCCATTAGGAATCCCGCTAACATCATTGGTCATTATGACAAGAAGGAAAATAGCTTTCTTAGGGCTTTGATTTCTCTTTTCTTCTTAATGGGTACTCCCTTTTCACCATCACCAGCAGATGATCTTGTCTATTAGCATTTACTCAGCACTTACCACTTTTATATTTCTTCATAACCTCTGCAATTCAAGTAACATCGCAGCTCCGCTCTGAACCTTTACTTTGGTACATATGGATAACGATGCAGCACCAAAGATGCCCCCCATCCTCACTGCCATTGCAGAAGCCGCCAGGTGGGGTCATTTGGCTGAGTCAATCCTGTCACCATAAACTACATTTATACCTCATCCAAAAGGGTTTTGCAGAACAGTTGTTGCTCAGTTTTAGTCCTATGTAATCCATCGTTCCGAGGAGCTCAGATGCGTGCAGTGTCTGCACGAGGCAGCTCCTTCCAGCAGCAGCACCGCTCCATTCTGAGGGCAGAGCCAGACAGAGGGCTTGGATGTGTCCTCTTCATACCCCTGCACTGCATTTAATTGAGACTCTGTGCACAGTGCAAAATCAATTATAATGCAGCACCAGATTTAAATGCGATGTCAGTGCGACTGCACGGTTTGGTTTGCCCTCTGTGAAGCAGGGTTAGGCTCTGTTAGACAGGAGCCAAGCAAGAACCAGCCCAGACTTTTCCAATTAAAACTGGAATGACAAATTATTTAAAGGAGTCTGCACCATTTCTAATGGTGAAAAACAGATGGTAGGTAGGATGAGTTCCATAAGAGCCCAGAGCTGATCTCTAGGACAAGAGGAGTGAATCATGAAAGCCCGTGGATTCAACACAGCTACCATCATCCACTTTGCTCTTCTTTCCTGCAGAGCAGGTCTAGCGCAGCACAACACTTGGTGCTTCCCCCTGGCCCACAGTGCTGCACATCTGTTAAACTCTGCATAAAGGATTAGGGTGTGAAACTCAGATTCAAAGCAGAATCCTTCTGTTACTGTTTTAGAAGTTTTACAGAGATAACCCAATCTTAGCCATGGAGCACCAGCTCTTGGTTACATGGCTCTGGAATAAAATTTATAGTACCATAGAACTGTTCCATTTAGCAGGGACCTTCAAAGGCCATCCGGTCCCACACCCCACAATGACCAGGGACACCCACAGTTCCATAGGTGCTCAGACTCCATCCCTGACCTTGGGTGTCTGCAGGGATGGGGCACCACTGCCTCTCTGGGCACTGTTGGAAAGCTCCAAGTAAACTGATAAGCGAAGTTCCTACCTGTTGTTCGTGCCTCTCTTTCAAATAATTAATGCAGTCAGTATGGGAACTGAGTCAGATTACAAAGCCAAACCCTGTTTCAAGCCATGTGCAGCAGCTTCATCATTTAAATACGTTCTTGTGCAGTGTATCCATGACAAATGGTTTTGCTTCCCATGGCAAGTCTCAGTTTTTAGGCTAATGAACAGATATCTCACACTCCCTGATTCAGGCCTTCCATCTCCCTAGCCCCACGAGTACAGCCTTTGTTCTGGCAGGTTTGATGCATTTGCCCTTTACACCACTGGTGTTTGCTGCTTAATTACCAGGCGGGGCTACAAAATGGAAGCATGCAGCAGTACAGGCTGCGTGCAGCGAGATCTGGAAGTGCTGCACAGCAGGATTCCTCTTGCATTTGTGAAATCACTCAGCAGAATTACAGCTTTTGCTGGCAAAGCTACTTAAAAGCAAATAAGGTCAAAAAAGCATTAAGGAGCCTGAAGGGAAAGCCCGGCATTATTCATCCGTTCAGAACATAAAGCTTCTGTGTCAACCACGAGCAGTTAGAGTAAACATTTGTACAGCACTTCACCTCCATAGATGGGGTGAGCAGAGGGGAATTATTTCTGGTTGGTAATGTGATGGTTTCCCTGCAAACAACAAACGATGGGAGCGGGTAGGAGGCCGTAGCTCCTCGTGGCACAGCCCTGCTGCAGCCACGTGCCACGTCCTGCTTATGGAACCTTCGTGATTTAAGCGACGTGAGCGATAAATGCGTGTAACCAAACGAAAATCAGCCTATGAACAGAGCTTGAATCTCATCTGGGGACACAGAAAAAGAGACGAGCTAATACGAAGCTATTAGAAAATGTTTCCCACGGTTGACCTTATTGAAGTACTTCTTAGTAGCCCAAAGGTAGGAAGCATGCACAGCACGCTCGTGGGTTTTAAAAAACGCAGATAGGATTGTATGTATGGCAGCAATCCCATAAACACACCTTAGCTATAAAAGAAGTCACCGTTTTTTTACCTAGTGCCCAAAACTCAGTTCAGTTTAGACTGGGAAAATTTGTACTGGCAGTATTCAAGATCAGACCAAACAAAATCAGCCATGACAACACGCTCTTAATGAATTTCAGAAGAGCAAACACTGAGCTAGCTAATGTCAGCAAGTGATGCTGCACTTTATTCCAGAACAAATACGATGTCTTAGCGACAAAAGAAAAAACTCCAGGCCTTATTTGTGCACGGGCAGCTTTCCTGCAAATAAACTTGCGTAAATGACAGTGAATCAAAGAGTAACACTGAGCGCAATGTGGGAACACTGCTGTACGAAGTGCCACTCACACCGTGTCGGACTCAGATTCACATTATGGATGATACCCATCACACCTTTATCTGTCTTCTGCTGATGAAATTTGCGCTGTGAGTCAATGTACAGCATCCGTGTCAAAAGATCAGATATTGTATTTGTTTGTTTTCTAGCTTGCTTGTAGCTGATAACAGCATAAGCCGAGCGAATCCAAGGAAAAATAATTCATCACAGTGCTCTGTTCCCCCCTGCACTGCCGCAGAGATATCCCCATCACAAGTGTGAGTCCGACTGCATCAAATTCCGCTTAAGCATCATCCATCAGCTGCACAGAGAGCACTTTCCTAAGGCTCCTGTAGGGCTGACGGAGCTGAGCACATTGGTCGGAGCCCAGCCAGGTCAGCATTGCCCCGACACCCACCTCTGCACTCCCACCCTGCACCAGGCCCTGTGCTGCAGGGACGTCCCTGCCCTGTGCACCGGGGTCACTGCAGCCCCAGCTGCCACCCATGGATAAAGCCATCCCCACAGAGACCCCACAGACAGCTCCAGGGGTTGGGTCACCTCTCCCTGTGCTCAGACCCCTTCTGTTAAGGATTGTATCTCACTCTAGAATCAGGTTATGGATTGTACACGATTAGAAAGCGATATGCATAGATATATAAATACTAACCTTTTTTAGTCATTTCTAAATAATTCATCTCCAATACTACAGGATAGGGTGAGGGGTTTTGTTTTTAACAAGCGCTTTACAGCCACTGAATTGAACGGATGCCTTATTTGTGAGGGTGGGAGGGATTTGGAGGAGCAGCCCCTGCTGCACAGGCTGCCACAGAGCCCTGCAGGATGGACAGCCCAGGCAGCAGGGCTGGAAGGCAGCACAGGGTTGTGCTCCTGGGCCGGGCACTGTGCAACGTGAGCCAAGCAGGAGCACTGCAATGCTGCAGCACGTGGGGATCTGCCTGCACCACCAGGTGCATCCCACAAGGAATGAAAGAGCCTCTGCAGAACAGGTGGAAAAGCTTTCCTCCAAAGCCACTCAGTAACTGCCTTGTAACCTCACTTCTGTACGATGGGTAGGAATGGAATCACTTCCATTAAGCATTGGTTAGGTAAACTTCTCCCAGGATTAAAATATAGCAACGTTTTTCTTTTCTGTTGTTTTCAAAGAGTTTAACCTGAGGTCAACAGAGTCCCTAACTCTTTCCAAAACTCAGCAACAGCCCATAGGGATGAGCATACTTATTTCCTGCATCTGTTCTCCAAATTAAATCAGAAACTGCTTATAAAGGAACATTCCTGGCAGTCCCCAGGGGAGCTCTGATGGAGACCTGCCGTGACGGCGATGCTCACTGCTGAGATCTCCATGCTGCAGCACGGCTGGAACCTTTCCTCACTTCTTTTTCATTTGATACTGTACTAATTGTAAGGGAAATATAACACCACCACAGGGATAAAATCTGGAGCACTGGCGAGACACCGGTTGGGTTCAATGGATCAAGAGATACGTTTTAGATGTTGCTGTGCCATGAGAGCAGCGAGCAGCCATGCCCTCACACTGCAGCACCATTTGTGTTTGCTCTGGCACGAGGAACGTGGTGTGAGGGCGTTTTAGTGGCACATGTGAACACGAAGGCAGAGCCCATGTGCCATTAACACAGTGCTGCTCTTTGGCACTCGTGATAATGTACCTTGTTTAACTACGACCAAATCCAACCAGCCCAAACTTCAGCACTGCACAGCATCTTGTGACACACACAGTGTTTTCGGTAGCAACAGACTATGGGATGTGGGGGCTGCAGCCTGGTAGGACATACCCGTGTTTCTCGCTTCTATGTACTATTTTGTATGGGTTAGAGAAGATGGCCTCTGTTGTGCATTGTTTGTGAAATGTTTCTTATCCCAGAGAGGTGTACGATGTAAAATACGTCAGTGAAAAGTGTATATTTTATGTGAGAGGAAAATACATTTTAATAAAGGTAAAGCTTTGTTAGCTGTAAAAATGGCAACTGTTCAAGTGTACAGTAACTTCTTACTAATGTACGAAAATCTGTGATATTTTTGATTTGATTGTATTTGTATTGCCCAAATAAAACATTTTGGCTGTATTGTTCTTAAGCGTTACTTCTTTAAAAGGGGGAAACTTGTGCTTGTATCTCAAAAAATGTTCTTCATTCGGGAAAAAAAAGAGCCATGTCCAAATTTCTGGATGGCACTCATATGGAGTGCACCCTGAGTGAAAGCCCATCTGGTGAGGTGCACAACCATTGCCCACATGGGCATCTCTGCAGATCTCTCTAAGGGTAGGAAGGAAATCTCTCTTCTCCAGGAGCTCCCAGCACAGGACTGGGGTGGGGTGAGGCTGAGAGCCCTCCTTCAACAAGAGGGCCCCCTGAGGGACCCACAGCAGTACAGCTAAGGGTGAGATGCAGCATACAGAGGACATAACAGTGATGGTGACATCTATGCCATCACAGCCTTCTTACTTTTTATCTTCAAGGGGAGTTAAACTAGAAAGGTTTGACTGGCAGCCCAGACAACACAAGTCAGCAAAATCCAAATGTAAAAAGCAAAGCAAAGAAGAACGAGACACCATTATCTTATTAGCATAGATGACCACTAAGCTCCTTTCAGAAACATTAGCCATGACCCCACCTACCTAGAGCATCTGTTTGGGCACAGCCCTACTGATGAGGTCCTATTGGTCCACCTGCAGCCCCGCACACCTGAGCAGGGCAAGGGCATGAACAAAATGAGCTGTGCCAATTAGATTTGGAGATAGAACAATAACATAACAGGCAAACCTGACAGCCTATGGCAGCTCTGGGCCAGCAGTGCCCTACCAACAGCACTTGGGCTCCCTCTGTGCGCAGAGCATCCCTGCCTCCACAGCACCAGCTGGTGCTGCTGTGTGCTACAGTCAGTGAAGCACTGCTGCTACGTGCTGGGGAAAGGAACAGCATTGAGCACCAAACCATCCAGCAGTCCCACCAACAGAACCAGGTGAGCTCCCCCTCCAACCTCAGCCATTCTGTATTGGCACAACAGCAGTATCAAGAATTCACCTCTTTGTGTCCAGGCGTAAAAAACAAAACTACAGGCTCTCCGGCAACACCAACAGCATTTATCTCAACCCCATGTTTCCACACGTCACGTTTGGTTTTTTGCACAGCTGACATGCAGAGCTCCTTCCTTCACTGCAAAGCACAGGCCTTATTTATCCAGATCTGACGTCCTCCTTTAACTCCGCTTGTTTTTCCCAGGGAGCCTTCGCCCTCACCTGCTGAATGGCGCTCCTCAGCTGCGCAACGGGAAAACAAATTGAATTCTAATCAAAGGGTTTCTATTCTCATCACTGCCGGTCTACTTTCACTTTATAGTTACCAATAAAATGTTAAAGAGTATCACCGGTGGATTCGTTTTGATTGATGGCATCTGCCCACTCCCTTGCATTTTAAGGCGCCTCATTATCGCACATTCAAGAATTGCATTTCTTAGCATGCTTAATAGCTCTTAAACTTGAGGCAGCTAATTGGTTCAGCTGGTGTTTCTGTGCCTTGGCTGCAAAGCTAATAAAAGGAAGCACAAAAATGAAGAATATTAATGGTTCCTCCTTTGTAAAGATAAGCTTAGTGGCCAGTTTATGCTTCAATTAATGCACAGCAAAGAGTGCCTTTAGAAATGGAAAGATTACCATCGAGAAAAGACTGCCATGTAATATTTTTTCCTTTTTTTCCCTTGGTATCTTTATGGGAACTGTTGAGTCCCAGCCTGCTCCACTGATTGATCACCTGAGGCAAGGACGGTCAGGCTGGGGAACACAGGTGAAGGCAGTTCACTGATGTGACTGGAGGGGATGGAGCCTGGCTGCACCTCTCCTAGACCCATTTAAGGGCTGACAGCCCCTGGGGAAGGATCACTTTCTGGAGATCACTCTTTTTTGGAGTTTTCCACCGTGAGCCTAGGTCCTCAGATACAGGTAAGCATTTCTTCTTTTTCACTATGGTAATCTTTCTGACTATAACACCTGTAAAGATACTCTTCCAACAGTACAGTATCCCATATACACGTTTAGGTATTTGAGTCCCTTGTAGATTTTTCACCTGTATCCTTTCAGGTTATGAGGAAACAATTCCTATGTTAAGTCCTGTACCAGCAAAACATGCACACAACTCTTCAAACACTTCCTTTTACTGCAGTATCTTCTCTAAGAATCATCCTTACTAGAAGGAAACTGCATCATCCAACCTCCTTCCTGGGGGTGCCTGCAAGCAGCAGGGAGCAGAGCAGAAGCAAGATGTGTTCTGAGTTCTGGGTGGGAATAGCTGAAATGTTGTTGTTTGAATCCCTCAGTCTGCAGTAGGTTAAGTGATGGGAATATATTTTGGTGGTATAATAGAGAACGTTTGCTGCAAGAAACTTTTAAGTGCTTTTTTGCTGTGTGTGTCTGGTAATCCTGATGAGTCCCTGACCTGCAGGCAGCAAACTGCTCCTGCAGCTTCCCCATGTGCTGGGATGAACTCTGTGGTTCAGAGAGTGACTCTGTGGGTCACCCCCAAACGAGTCTGTCTGCAGAGCATGCCTTCACACCTTTCCTCCCTGCACGTGCAGCTCAGACTTTCCCCCATTGGATGTTTGATTGCTGGAACAAATGCAGGCTTTGTTGGTTGTTGTTCTTCTGTAGTGAGAGGCAGTGGCAAATCCCATGCTCAACTTCTACAGCTGTGTCAGATACACGCTGCTCACAGCAGTGAGCGGTGCTCTGTGCTCTTCCAAAAAAGAACTATTTGCTGTTGCCTTCTGCTTCCTCTGATCTTCTCTTTATTGGGAGAAAAGCTCGTTTTTCCAATACCTGAGCTGAACAGATATTATTTTCCTATGCATTTAAAAAAAGGAATGAAAACAAACTGTCTTTGTTAGCTGACTTGTTTCTGAAGGCTCCATAATGACAGCCTGTTTGTAATGCCCGTGTAGCCCAGAATTCCTGCTATCAACACAACGGAGACAAGGCGATGTTTGGTGGTGGCTGCAGATCATTATACCATTATTCCTCTGCAGGGTGGAAGTTACTGATGATTTCTGTCTGTCACCCAATGCCAGACATCACCTTTTCAGGGTGTATTTTTTTCCTCTAGTGCTTTGCAATTTTATGGACTGACACACAGCAGGAAAGAGACTGATGAAAAAGCTGTGGCATCGCTTCCCAGTGAGGAAACCTGTGCTTTCCCCCTTCTTGCTATGGAATCACAGCATGGCCTGGGTTGCAAAGGAGCACAACGCTCATCCGTTCTGAACCCCTGCTGTGTGCAGGTCGCCAACCAGCAGCCCAGGCTGCCCAGAGCCACATCCAGCCTGGCCTTGAATGCCTGCAGGGATGGGGCATCCACAGCCTCCTTGGGCAGAGAGGTCTGTTACAAGTGTGACTTCACTATATTGAGCTGATAAGAGGAGAATGACTGAATTCCTTATTTATTAAAAATTGACTTCTGGGTCTGTTTTGCAAAGAACATGATTTTTTTTCAGTACCTTTTACATCACCCTCCAGCACACCAGGCAGACAAAACTTGGCCAAGAAGTGCCAAGTTCCAGGTGAGTCCAAGCTCCCTTCTGCAGAGCCGGGGCTGCAGGTGACTCATGGCACAGGCAGCCCCCCAGGTGGAAGGAAGACCCCTCTGCAGCCTCCTGGGGTGTTGGTAATCTGGAGTTTTGCACTAAATCACCACAGCCTTTATGAGAGCATCAGTGTCTGCTGTCACCACAACTTCCATCTCATCACAGCTCCGTGGCTGGCAGGTCCTCAGCCTCTCACAATTAAGAATGCACATTTTCTGTTTGCTACATAATTTTGGGGCACTATTTTAACACAGATGTGCAGGTTTTTTCTTTATGTATTTTTCTTCCCTTTTTAATCACTGTATTTTGCCTTAGCAACCCAACGTTCCTATTTTTAGCTCTAAAGAAAGAAAACAATCTTTCAGAGACATGCTGGATCCTGAGCACAACTGATAAACCACAGAAATTCAGTGATAACAGTGAAATTTGCCTTATGCTGCTCTGCTCTTCCTCTGCTCAGTCTGAAATGCAAATGGTGAGAACCTGTGCATCACTCCAAGATAAGCACATATTGTTCCAGCTCCTGGATGGCTGCAGGGATTCCCAGTGCAGCTGTGCCCCTCCAGCTGAAGCCACGTGAGAGGGGAGCAGAAAGCAGTGCAGGTGGTGATGGTTAATTCCTGCTGCAATGGATGGCTCCTGCCCCACAGTGCCTGGGTCACAGCCTTTGGCTCCTGCTACTTTGTGCCTTCATACAACAGGGAGATCAGAAGAGCCAAATTAGAACTGCTTTGCCTCTGTTCTGGGACAGAAGTCCCCTCTGCCATGACTTGAGTCTCTGTAGGAGTCGGGGTGTTTCTGGGTGATGTGCCTGATCACAGAATGGCCTGGGTTGAAGAGGACGAATGCTCATCAGTTCCAACCCTTGGCTGTGTGCAGGGTCACCAACCAGCAGCCCAGGCTGCCCAGAGCCACATCCAGCCTGGCCTTGGATGCCTGCAGGGATGGGGCATCCACAGCCTCCTTTGGCAGCCTGTGAACAGTGCCTCACCACCCTCTGGGTGGTCCTGCAGCCTTTGGCTGGTGTTGCTGCGAGGTCCCTTTGATGGGGTTTTTCAAAATGCATGGGCTGTGGGTGTGCATTCTGCATTTGCAGAGCGTTAATAGGACAGGTCAGGGACAATTGGGCACATCAGACTGCTGTGTCTAAACAGACACTTGATGCCTATTGAGCTCGCTTTCCTATTCTTTGTGTTATACTTAGCTGTGACCTTGAACGTTGCTGTCTTTTGTTCATTTGTTTGTTGCAGAGAAGGTTTTTTTCTCTCTCCCTATCTCGACAAAGATGATAAATGGATTTTTCTTTTTACATTTGTACATGAGCACCGTACATCTCTTTGAGCGGGCAGCAGCAGCTGCATCATCACTGCGCTCCCAGCGGTCTCACGCCAGCTTAGGGCAGTGCTGTGTCCTGCAGGTGCCTGCTCCTGGGCACAGCTCTGTGCTGTGCAGAGCTCCCTGCAAAGTGATGCCCAGCACCTGACCTCCTGCACGCCTGGG